ATTTCCGTTGTGTTTTCTCTAGCTCTTCCTTTTGATTTGCAGAATTTTCGGTTGCTGGACGAGGTAAGTTAGAATCAAAATTACCCAGCTTACTCATGTAATATGGACGAGAAAACCATATAAAAGGAACATATGAATTGCAATTCTAAATAGCTTATAATAGGATAGATTTGCTCAATGTTTTTACTAATCAAATCACCATGGCATATTTAGTCAACGAATTATTGCTATATGTCATAGCATCGTGGCGCTTTGTCAATAGTTACTTATCAACATGGCATATTTAGTCATCAGATGATTGTTAAATATCATAGCATCGTGGCGCTTTATCAACATTAGTTACTACTCCAACCACGACACTTATTTTGGAGGAGGGACTAATTGACATGGCCTATTCCGTCAACATATTAACTTTTGTTACTTCTTTAAACTCAAAAGCTAACTATTAGTTATAATCCCCCTGGCCTATTAAATCTGCACATTGCTATTCAATGTAGCAATGCCAGCTTGCTCCCTATATGAATGATGTATCTAAAAAGACAGTGCATATGACTGCAGGGCAGCAACTACTTGAACCTGAACTAAAAGGAAACTGCTTCAGCTATAACGCGATGAGCTGAAGCTCACATGGTGGCATGAGGACTTTTTTCTCTACCACGCATTTTTTATCGTCTCCCTTTTTATTTTTATATTTCCTTTTACTCTCAACTGTTTTTTTGTTCCATGATGTAACTGAACTGCAACTCCCCAAGCCCAATTTTCTGTCTCACACAGGAGCTTGTCATCAGATTGAATCTGCTCCTATAGTTTATTTGTCAAATATATGGATACCTTGATTAACAGAAGATTATATGCTCGAATTTTAACCACTCAAAAACTATAGAGATGGCAGTTTAGCAATTTCACACCCTAATGGCAAAGTATTTATATGCGAAATGACTTGCGTACCTCTGAAATGCATAGGCATTCCAATACACTGGTCCAACCAGCACATTATCTTTATCGGTTAGTGGGGGCTGGTTCTTTGTCTGGATTGTCTCCCTTATCACTAAATGAGCTTTGGCGAGACCAAGTTCTAATCTCTGAAACTTTACATCCCTCCTCCTCTACATTAGCATCATCACTTTAGTGGCGCCATCCGAGCTAGTGTCATTGTCAAATCCACTTTCCTACAATATATAAAATAGATCCAAGTAATTCAATGAGACCAGTTTAAAATATTTTGTAACAACAATAGGTTAAGTTAATCATGCTCTATACAAATAAAAGTGTGATATAGCTGTTCGAAACATACTACAGACATTTTACTTTTAGAAGATTGGAAAAAAGTATGGATATTATTTTTGCAATGAAATGGAAAAGACCATATATCCATAAAAGTAGCGAAATATTACTGTGGCAATATCTCCAATATGTCTAACAGTTAAGAAATAATACTAAACAAAACAATTGCACACGCAATACCAAGCAACATTCCCTGCACTATGTCTTCTCCATCGAGTGACCTTCCTCTCCATGCTACCCCCACCCAAAGCTCATCTGTACACTGGATCCATGTGATCTCTCAATCCTCACTGCTCTCTCATGCAGCAAACACTACAACAAGCAAGCCTTCTAGCCCTCCCCCCAAATCAAAACAAATAGCAGCAGCAGGCAAACAAACTGCAGCATCATCTTCAACTAAATCAGAGGAAAAAAACTCTACTACCTGGTGCCTGATAGATACATAACTGGGTGGATGGATGGCTCGCATGTGGAAGGACTGGCCGGTTAAATACCTTCTTCCCTCCTAGTATGTATGTTCTCAACCCGCATGAAGAAGAAATCTGTACGAGAGCTTTGCAGCAAGAACAAAGCGCGGAGCATGTCTCCTCTGCATCCTTTGTCATCTCCTTCGCAGAAGATAGGCATCCCCCGCACATGTGGAGCCGGTGGTGGTGGAGGTAGTAGCCCATCCCGGAGATCTCACCTGCCGCCCGATGGCCGTTCTCATCCTAAGAACTCAACTGCGGATAAACACCAGCCATTGCACCGCTTGAACGTTTGACGAGTTAAATGAGATACGAGTTTGGCTAGGTCCGGTTTAACTCATGAATAATTTGAGGAGTTAAGCCATTTAAAGGGAAAGTCTAGCACCAATGTATGAGTACATTGGTTGTAAGAGCATCTCCAGCCGTTGGCACCCAGGAGGGGCTAAAAATCGCCCCCTGAGGGCGCACCAGCGCTAAACCGCGCATTGGGGGCGTGATGCTCCCAGTCGCGGCGCCCATTTTTTTTGAAAAAGTTAAATACGGCGCAAACACGGCTCAAATTTAACGCAAACATCGGCGAGTTCGTTCAAATTTAAACATATTTTACAAAAAAGAAAAAACTACTACGGGCTGCTCCCGCCGCCTCCATCGCCGCTCCTCGCCGTCTACCTCGCCGCTCCCCGCCGCCCGCTGCCCGCCTTTGCAGCTCTACATGCCGAGGAGGCGGTAGAACCGCGTGTAGTCGTCGCCACCATTGTCGTCGTCCTCGTCATCGGCATCCCCGCCTCCGCCGCTGCCGTCCCTGCTGCATCCCTCCCCCGGTTGGCGCGGCGGGATGGACGGTCCGGGGGCGTCCTCGTCATCGTCGCTGTCGAGGATCACGATGTCGTGCTCATCCTCGCGCCCACGCTTGCGGACGGCGATCTCCTCCAGGGCCCGGCGCTGCTGGACCATCTCGTCACGGAGGTAGTCGTCCCGCGCCCACTGCAGGGCGTCCTCATCGGAGAAGCGACGTCGGGCTATCTCCTCGTACTCCGCGGGGAGGCCGGGCTCCGGCTTGGGCTCGACGAGGACGAAGCGGCTGGAGGGGGGTGGAGTCGCCGATGCGGACGCCGGAGCTGCGGGTGCGCGCGCTGACAGGCGTGTCCTTGGGCTCCGGCTTGACGGGGCGGAGGCAGGGAGAGCCCGACGAGCGGCCGGACGAGGAGGAGGACGCCCCGGGCCGCTCCATGCGCCTCGGCGTCCAGGAGCTCCCACGACGGCGTGAGAAGGACGGGGGAGCGGGGTACTCGAGGCGCGGCGTGTTGCCGCCCTCGATGTACTCGAGGACGGCCTCCAACATGCGGCCGGGCACGCCCCACCACCGGCGCCGACCCTCGGAGTTGAGCCTGTCGGAGGGCACGACGCCGTTGGTGGCCTCGAGCTGCTCGGCGTGACGGCGGCGGAAGTAGGGCTTCCAGAGCGGGCTGTCGGGGACGTAGCGTGGCCCCTCCCTCGCCGCCCGCGGCAGGGATGCGCGGATACGTGCGATCTCCGCACGCCGTGTGCGCCCCGGTGGGTGGTGGTGGCACCGGCACGCCGCCGGCGCTGATCCTCCAAGCCCCGGGCACCCGCATATGTCCGATGGGACCGGGTACTCGGCCTCGAAAAGGAGGCGAGCCTCGTCCTCGTGAAGATGGCGGCGCCCGAAGCCATTCGCCGCCGCGCCGTCGCCTGGGAAGCGCTCGGCCATTCTTCTGAACTGGAGACGGCAAGAGGAGGAAGGGGGAGAAATGGGCGCGTCGACGGTGGAGTATCTGTGCGTGTCTCCGGCGCGCTGGTGGTCGGCTTATATAGGCGGAGGCGCCGTGTGGTAGGCTTGGCTGGCGCGTTACGCGTGGCGTGGCGGGCGAGGGGACGCGCGTCGCCCGGCCTTCACTGCGCCACCATCAATGGAGGCTGACCGGCGCGCTCAGCTTTGGCATTGATTCGCCACGGGAAACGAGGTGATGAGGACGACGAAGCGGCAAGAAGAGAGTCGAGTCGCTGACGCGGCTGGCTCGCGGCTCTTCGCGCCAAAAACAATTCGCCCGGCGCCCCCGAGCGACCCCAGCGCGCCGGGTTCGGGTTGGGTCCGCCAGCGCCAATTTCGGCCCGAGCGGGCGAAAACTGGGCCCTTGGAGGCGTGACTGGACCAATTTTTTGGCGCCGGCGGTCGAAAAATCGCCGGGGGGCCTTCTTGGGGCGCGGCTGGAGATGCTATAACATATTCCTCCATCCGTTTCAAAATAAGTGCCTCAAATTTAGTATAACTTTGTACTAGAGCTAGTATAAAGTTGAGACAATTATTTTAGGACGGAGGGAGTATAATATACTCCATATACCATAGGACGGAGAGAGTATGTTTTAGAAGGAACTGCAAAAATAAGATTACACCCATCTTGCTCGATAACCACTGCTTAAACAAACCGGTTGTTCCGCGTGCTTTCCATTCTACGTTGGATCTTTTCCTTACTTCTCCACTAGCAAAAACATGCTCATGACATCAGTCGCTTGGTTCATTACCACATATAAAAGCAATCGGGTCATTGCAGATGTAGCATCCTTTTCAAGCAATCCGGATGGATGCCATTTCGTTGCTGTTCAGGTGTTCCCATCACAAAGCTTCGCCAGAAATTCTGTTCAATCAACACCGCTGCATTTTCTGTTCAATCAACTAGAGACAAATTGATCCCATTTGCCGGGCCTTGGTACTCAGTTATCCATTATGCTAGCAGGCATAATAAATAACAACAAATGCATATGAAAGTTTCATTCGCGTCATATATTATGAAAATATGAAGAAAATACAGTTGTCCAGCTTCTGAGACTCCGATTCAATTAATGCATTAAAAAACAGGCTCCGAGTCCATTACTGAAACCACACTGAAACAGAAATAGCATATGGAGTACTTTAACATCACAAAATCTATTCAGCTTGACTGCTTGAGCATTATAAGTGGACAATGAAACTTGAGAGTTTAAGCAGCAAATACATCTCACAGAAATAAGCTTCAGGCTGATCAGAAATTCAGAATCTAGGAACGTCTAAACGACATATAATGTACGTACAGAAGAAGAACATGCGTATAAAAGAGGCTGGTTGGTTTTGACTTCACTTCAGAACATATGCAAGCGCAAAGGTACCAAGAATTTGGCCCGCGAGCAAGCAGATATCATTCGTCACCATCATCAGATAAGAACCAGGACCTCCGATTCCCCTGACTTTGTTCAGCCCTCATTCACCCTTGGTATGATCCACGATGCCGCCGCCCCGCCACGCTGAGCCGTGTCAAGCTCGTTCAGCCGGCATGCAAGCTTCTTAGAGGTCCGGCTCTGCAGGTTGAAAGCCGATACACTGTATTTCACACTGCTGGAACGGCTCGCCTCCTTGGTGGTCACCGAGTAGACCGTGTTGCTTTCAAGATTCGTGAACCCTGCCGTCGTCCCCACAGCGAACCCGTGGAGAGGATCGACAAACAGCGCCCGCTCGCCGATGCTGGTGAGCTCCTGCCAGGCTGGGTTGGTGCTCCGGTGGTTCACGCAGAAGGCCTTGGAGAAGTCCACGTCGTCAGTAAAGACGTACATCCACTTGGACTTGACGAGAAGGAAGAGCTCTTCACCAGCCACCACGACGCGCGCCTCGGTGGGGAGGTCGACTTGGGGCGGCGGCTGGATGACGGCCGTGACCGCGAGGGTGATGGAGTCGACGATGGTGGTGCGGCACGCGTCCTCCTCGAAGACGAAGAAATCGCCGCCGGCGTAGTTGATGCTGCTCACGTTGCAGTCGGGCATGGCGGGGACCGGGGCCCAGGAGTCCGCGAGAGGGTCGAGGGCGCAGACCAGGACGACCTCGCCGCAGGACGCCATGATGCTGTGCGGGGACAGGTCCCAGGCCAGGTCATCCGTCTCGGCGAAGAAGGCGGGGAGCGGCGGGAGGGGGCGGACGGAGCCGGTGAAGGGGTGAAGGAGGGATGCGGCGAGATCGGTGGGGTCGACGGCGAGGATCCAGCCGTGCGGGGACGCGGAGAGGCGGCGGCGGCGGCGCCGGCGGTGGGCGTCCGCGGCGGGGACGGGCAGACGGATGTTGCGGTAGAGGCGGTCCTCCGAGGGGTTGAAGAAGAGCGGCGACGGGGAGGACGGGAGGAGGAGCCACGGGGGCTGCGACGGAGGCGCGGCCGCGGCGTCCACCCCCGCGTCGCGCCAGGTGGTGCAGACGGAGCGGAAGCGGGCGATGTCCGCGAGCTCCGTGAGGTCGCCGGAGACGGTCACGAGGAGATCCGGCGCGAAGTGCGACCAGCCGCGGAGGGCCATGGCGACCGCGATCTGGAATTGGAATCAGGCGTTTCTAGGTTGTGTGGGCTCGGTTGCGACGGACAAAAAAACCTCTTTGCTCGGATTTAATGGGCATGGGCGATGCTCTATGGCGGTGGGATGCCGTGCCAGTTTTTGTTTATCGGTCTCCTTCCGCACAGGCGGTGCGGGTAGGGTGCCGCTCTTGGGAGATCGGCGTGCCCGAGAACCATCAAACTGGTGCACCGCACGCATCAGAGCAATTATATATATATATATATATATATATATATAAAAGTTTATGATCTGTTCATTACCCATTATGATAATACAACGAACATAAAAAATAATAAAAATTACATAACATCAAAAATAATAAAAACTACATCAAGGTCCCTACCACCTAGCGACGACTACAAGCATAGAAGCGAGCCGAAGATGTCGTCCTCATCATCCTGGCCGGGGCCGAAAAAAAATTGTTATAATAAACAGTTAGAAAGTCGCCGTACTAAGGCCTAACAGGACCAGCGCACCGGTCTGCAACTACCGCCGATGAAGATAAGCGTTGATAGGAAGGATCCAACCTGAAAGAACACTAATGTAGACGTGCGAAGACAAGATTCGAGCGGATCCACCAAGGACAACCATCGACCGAATTCTGCAAGATCTGCTGGAGACACACCTCCACACACCCTCCGACGCTGCTAGACGCACCATCGGGGCGGAGGCTAGACGGGAAGAAACTTATTCCATATTCAGAGAGTCATCGCCGTCTCGTTTACCTGAACAGGATACAAACCTTAGCAAAACTAAAAAAAATGTATAAAAGCATAGCCTTCCCACTGGCAAGGGTGGAGATCCACCGTGCCCCCATGGCCCTAAGGCCACTGAAGATGAGGCAGATCGCCGGCGCCGTCGGCGGGAGGAAAATATCGTAGCCACATGTTCGCTGCTGGTCGCTAGGAGGAGCGAAGGAGTAAGTCCTGTATATAAAGGATTCATGAGAGCTATTAGAGCATCTACAACCACATTTGCTTAATTTGGCTCCTGATACGCCCATGGACGTGCCGGGGCACGTCCGTTTTAGACCACCGCTTTCCTTGTAAAACAACCACACCTTATATTATCCGATCACATGCATATGATTGGTGAGAGAAATAGAGAGAAAAGGAAAAAAGATTTAAGAAAAAGAAAAGATTGTCCACAGTGGGCCAAATCCTACATGGCACCCTGCCCGGACATCCTCATATGTTTTCCATATATAGCTTCGATATGGGGATTTGTGGACTCCCGGATACGCCTGGACAAAGTAAGGATTATCGTTGGATGACTTTTTTTATTCATTTTTTTGTCTGATAGGACATTTGTGGGCTCTGGTTGTAGATGCTCTTAGATGTAAAAAGTAAGGGATGTGATCCATCTAGGAGGGACATGTTGGTATTGCAAAATAAACGCGGGGAGCATACTTGAACTACACAACCATTGTTTCTCATCCTTGGCCCCATCCTTGATACGTCTCTGACATATTTATATTTTTTTGATTTTTCCATGCTATTATCATACCGCTTTTGCATATTTTGATAATAATTTATACTATTTCTATTTGGACTAACCTATTAACCCAGTGTCAAAGGCCGGTTCTAGTTTTCTATTGTTTGAGGGGGGGTTTAGGTGAAAAATTCATGGAGCTGGAATGACCTGAAATTTTTTGTGGATTTTTATGAAATATATCGAAATTTATGGCGAAAGAATCAATGCAAGGAAGTGCTTGTGGGCCCCACAAGGGCTGGCCCAATGGCCAGAGGGTGCCCACGCAATGCACTCTTGTGGGTAGACCTTGAGCTCTCCTTCGGGCACAAGGAAGCTAATCTTGGGGAGAAATCGTTTTAAAATTTCGTCCCAGTTAGAGTTGGGAGCATCCTGCTATCTAAGAAACGATGTTCGGCCGCAGAAATAGTCGCGAAATAGAGAGGAAAATCTAGAGAGAAAATGACCGAAGATCCAATCTTGGAGGAGCTCCTGCCCTTCGGGAGCCATGGAGGCCAAGGACTAGAGGAGGAACCCTTCTCCCATCTAGGGGAAGACCAAGCAAGAAGGACGGTGTGCCGCTGGGGGAACCATCGTGGCGACGATCATCACCATCTTTCTGCCTCTTCGTGCAGCAGTGTACTCTCTTTCACCCCGGCGTAATCCCTACTTAAACATGGTGTTTTATGCTATATATTATTATCGAATGATGTGTTGCATCTCTGTCATGTGTGAGTAGTTTCTTTTTGTCCTCTAGGGTTTATGATATGGCTGATATGAGTTGTGTGTTATTATGGTGTTGTCCTATGGTGCCCGTCGTCTCACACAAACATGTAGGATTCCCGTTGTAGTGTGTTGCAATATGTTGATAATTTGCTTATAGTGGGTTGCGGGACTGGTAGAAACCTAAACCTGAGTTCGTGAGTTGTTGCATATGGGATTAAGGGGGGCTTTTAACTTAATGTTATGGTTGAGTACTACCATAATGAATCTTTAGTATTTGTGGATGCTTGCTAGAGTTTCAGCCAAAAGAACATATGATCCAAGGACGAAAAGTATGTTAGCTTAGACCTCTCCCTCATAAATATGATGAGCATCACTATAATTTCATATCCAATTGCCTATGGACAATCCCTTTCTTTACCATTCTTCCAAAATCCTTTACTTCATTGTTCTTTTATTAAAACAACACCCAACTCTTTATATTCTTGCAAAGTTATCATTTTATTCTCACAAATTAGTTTTATTTCTTGTTCTAGGTAAAGCAAGCATTAAGTGTGTGTAGAGTTGTATGGGTGCTTGATAGAACTTGAGAGAATATTAATTCTACCTTTAGCACCTCGTTAGGATCAACACCCTTATAGAAAAGACTACAGCAAATCTCCTACACTTGTGGGTTATCAAGACCTTTTCTGGCGCCATTGTCGAGGAGCAATACCACGGGGTGAATAATCTTATGTGTGCTTGTTGGCGTTATCACTAAGTAGATTTTATTTCCTATTCCAAGTTATTCTTTATCTTTAGTTATGGATATGGAGCATGAAACACACAAAATAGTTGTACTTTCTACTCATGGAGATGGGGAACCTCCTGAAACCCCTGATAATGGTTATGTGTGGAACATTAAATATTACTTTAATAATCCTAATAAATCCTCATTCAACTCGGTAATGGGATACACTTTGGATTAACGTGAATACTTTACCTTGACTTTAAAAGAGAAACACTTATGGGATCAGATAAAAATATTACGTTGCTATGCTTGGAATATGTGTTGTATGTATGATTTTACTTGTTGCTTTAGGATGAAGATTCCACACCTTCCCGTCCAATATGAATTTAATGATAATGAAATATTGATCTCTTATACTAATGGTGTTTATAATTAGTTATTATATTAAACAAATAGAAGAATTTGTTGCTTTTAAGGATGCTTATGAAATTGCTTACTCCATGGCCCATTTGGCTGCTTCAATTTCTGCTACTTTGGGGTAGCTTCTACAACAACGTGCCGAGCTGACTGCCCTGCTACATCAACACTTAACGGCTGCTCAAAACTGTATGAAGTTGCAAGCTTATCGTAATCGCACTGGAAAAAAATCCCAGTGAGAGCTCAGGTGCTGCTCAAATTGCAACCCTTCGTCCAGTCTTTAGTCGCCAATCGACCATTTCCAAAGCCTTGCTTTCAAATTCAATGGCCATTTCACGATCCTGGAGTGCATTCGACAAGCCAGACGATAGTTCAATCCATCCGGTGTCGGGTGTTCCACGTCTCACAACTGAAGGACCCACGGTCAGACTATAGTTCCGACCCTACAGTTCTGAGCTGGTCGGTCAGCAGCTTCTTCCTGAAGCTATACTCGAGCGCCGCTTGGTCAAGAAAGGTAGAAATGTTGCTCCTCAGGTACTGATCAAATGGGCGGGCCTTCCAGCAGCGTCGGTGAGCTGGGAGGACTACAACAATGTCGTCAAGGCTCGTTTCCCTACTGCACTCTCTTGGGGACAAGCAGTTCTTCAGCGGGGGAAGATGTAACAACCGGACAATATTGAAGATGGCCCAGGGGTCGGCCGAGGCGTTCAGAATCGTTGGCTCATTAAACAGATTTTTTGTCATATAAGACCACCTATGCTTTTGTATTGACAGAAAAGACCACTTTCGAATCATATTGACAAAAAAGACCACGTACATTGTGGCGGCAGGTCCGGCAGCCGACACGTGGCAGCAACCACCACAGCCGACGGTGGCAGCTTGCACGTAACAGGTTTTCCGCCTCTGCAGCGATTAGACTAGCCACATTGGGAGTAACTCCAGCAGTAACATTGAGTCCAACTCAACAAATTTGCTTATGTGGCAATGAGTTAATGAGGAGAGAGGTAGTTTGAGTAACTTAGCTAGTTACTGTAACATCACATGTCCGAATGCAATATGAGTCTATAAATGAGGCTTTGCATGTTACCATACTTATGTTACTACCCACTATAAAAGGTAGTAACATAGTCTAGAGATAAGTGTATGTTACCAGTGTATATTACTCTCCATTGTGGCTAGTCTTAGCAACAGAACGGAGATGGCATGTGGGCCGTGCCACCAAAGAGGATGGCGACAGCTCCTTTTACTGCGCTAGCTTTGCATGCAGTTCTGCTGGTTTCGTTGATTGGCAAGAGTGCGTTGAACGTGGGCCGAGACTGCATGGTGGAGTGTGTCGTGGAAACATCACGGCAGATGTCCTAGTGTGAGGACTTAGTCGTGGAGCCATCGCGTTGAGGTTAGCTTAAAGGTGTTAATCGGGATAAAGGACACGGGGAGTTTATACTGGTTCGGCCCCTTACGATGAAGGTAAAAGCCTAGTCCAGTTTGTAGTTGGTATTGCTAGGGTTTCGATGAGCAGGGAGCGAATATGCTTGACCCGGCTCTCGATCTGTTGTCTCTTGCCCTAAGCCGCCGCTAGGTCGTCCCCTTATATACACGGGTTGACGCCCTGCGGCCCTCAGAG